GTATGTGCTCTTCTCTTGGCATTCTCTCTCGCTGGTAATGAGATCGATCCTCACTATTGCTTCTGAGGTGGCTAATTTTAAATACAGCAGCATAGAAATCACAGTTAACCCTGAAGAATCACTCCTAGCCGAATCATGTAATTCTTATCCAAACCATCAGAAAAATGAACATCCTTTGGTGGGATTGAAGAAGGCTATGACTAGAAGAGCCATATTAAATAATTCACTGCTTTGCAATGTCCTTTTCTTTGTATTAGTCTCCTGATAACAGGTCCTTATTGAATGAGATAAAATCTCACAATCTGTGCTTCTAAGGAGCATTCTGGCGATTTGTCTTCCAAGAGCGCTCTGTGTGTCCTGGCAGCCCTGGTACTTTCCTTATCCTTCACTAGAAAATGTAATTCAGTTACATCGGTTCTTCTTCCTTAGTCACCGTCCAGCGTTCACAAGCGGATGAGGAATTGAAAATACCATGGCTTGGGTCAGGCACACCTTTCTCCTCAAGGCAACATATTTTCTTTTCTTAATACTGTTAAAGGGGTACTGTGGAGCCGTGGTGGTGTAGGGGTTATGCATTGGGTTGCTAACTACAAAGTCAGTAGTTTGAACCACCAGCCACAGATGGGCTTTCAACTTCCGTAAAGAGATACAGGCTTGGAAACTCACAGGGGCCGTTCTCCCCTGCACCACAGGGTCACTGTGAGTTAGAACTGACTGACGACAGTGAGTTTAAAGAGGTGCCATGGAAAAGATTGGCCCAAAGCATTCCATCTTTCACATTCTTGACTGCTGCTTCCATGAGCATTGTTTGTGGATCCAAGTGAAATGTGATTCGTGACGTCTTTTTTTGATGATGTCCTTGGTTCAGTTGTGTAGTGAAGATTTTTGTGTCCACTGAGTTGCCCCCCTTGCTGAAGGCGACAGTCTTTGATTTCATCAGCGTGTACTTCACACCACTTTTTACTGTTAGCAAGCAAGCTTATGCCATTTGCTTCTCACAAGTTGTTAAAGAGTCTTCCTTCAATCCCGATGCTGTGTTCTTCTTCATATAGTTCAGCTTCTCAAATTACTTTCTGGGCATACAGATTGAGTAATATGGTAAGAGGATACAATCCTGATGCACACTTTTCCTGTTTTTAAACCATACACTGTTTTCTTGTTCAAGTTAAAATAGTGTTATACTAAACCTTTAAATGGTTTTTTGAGACTCTTTATTTTCATGTTGGTTACTCAGTCATAATTATGTCCTTATATTTTATTCTGTAAGTACAAGATGAAACAAAGAAAGGTGAAGAGACATCACATGACCTAAGTGGGAACAGCAGTATTGGCTGTGGATATTAAGCGAGGTCCATGCATCTTAGCTTACAGGAACATTTCAATGAAACAAAGAACTTTCCTTTGCCTATCACATTTCTGCTTATATCCAGCTTCCTTTTGATGGTTGAAGTTCTGTCTCAACAACTTTCACTGTGGTATGTTGGTAAACATCTGTAAATAGAATTACTTGCTTACTGGAATCAGTTCACATTTATCAGATTTATTCTTCCATAAAATGGTATTCTTGTGTATAATTAGGTAGCAACATCTCTTGTAAAGAATTTTCTTTTGTAAAAGATCTCATTTAAAATATTCTTTTCTTAGAAATTTTTTTTGAAGCATCTGCTTTAGTTAGACAAGTGAATTAAAGGCTGACTCAATCCACAAGTTTGAATATTTTTCACTTGTAGGTTTGCATTCACCCTTTACAATGACATGAAAAGATATTTTGTGGTTTGATTATGTTTTCTCCAGAATTTAGTAGTTAACTGTGTGTATTGAAAATTTGATAACATTGTAGATTAGTGTGACACTTGTGTTTAAAAGTCATTTGAAGACAAACCATTGGTATTATCTCTGTGTTTTTATAACAATATGACTCATAGTATGTTTCCAGCTGCACCCAACCATTCCTCAGCCTCAAACTCTTGCTGTTCCTTAAACAAACAATAATTTCCTAACCTCATGCATTTACTTTGGTTGTCTCCTTCCTTTAGAATCTTTTCCTTGACTGTAGTGAAATCTTACTCATCCTAAAATGCCCACATAATTGTAAAAATTAATTTTCCAACTTCATTATAGTTGAAGTAATTTTGTTGTATTGTAAACATTATGTTTACAGTATTGTTTCTTTTTTAGATACCTTACACTTCTCTCTTGTGTTAAATTCATTTATGAATGTATGTGACCTCGCCACAACTCTTCTCAAGTGATAGAGCAAATAATGGTGTATTATAGACATTCAGTGGTAGTAAATACCTGCAACCAAAAGCATCCTGCTTTAAGATGCAAAAGCTGACAGATAACAATTCTTGCTAGAGTGGTAGTGGTTTTATTGCCCTTTGTGGTTCGAGTAAGTAAATGCATCTCTTAATAAGCTCAGAGTGAAAGATAACTTGCACCATCAACAGTTCCTGTTCAGTGCAGCGGTTATTCTTAGGCACCATGGAGTCTGTGTGGACTAACAGCCACCCTGTGCACCCCAGAATGAAACAGTGCTGATCCTGCACCACCCTCACTCTGGTCTCCAGGAGTGAACTCACTATTGGAATCACTGTCAGTGCCTCTCATCGTTGAGTGGTTACCTCTTTTTCATGGACCCTCTCCTTTATGGAGCATGATGTCTTTCTCCTGGACTGGGCCCTCCTGATGACATATCCAAAGTACATGGGATGAAGTTTCACCGCCTTTACTTCTAAGGAGTTCTGCTTGTATATCTTCTAGGACAGATTTGTTTGTTCTTCCGGTGGTCCTTGGCATAGATAATATTGTCAGTAGCCTAATTCAAAGGCATCAGTTCTTCCTTATTCATTGTCCAACTTTAACATGTGATTGGAAATATGTGACTTGGACCAGACACACCTTTGTCTTCAAAATGGCATCTTTGCTTTTTAACACTTAAAGGCAATTGTGTGCAATATGCTTGCCCAATGAGATACATCCTTAGGTTTCCTGACTGTGACACTGAATGTTGGGGAGGGAGTAGTCTTAATCTGTGGTCAGAGGTAAAGAGGCAAAACCTACAAAAGTGAGCAAGTCATTTTCTCAATTGCTTACATTATTGAATTTACTTTAGTAATTCACATTCCTGAAGCCAAAGCCTTGGTGTCATCTTGACACTTTTATTTCTTTCACTCGACACCTAATCTGTCAAGGAAGTCTGTTGGCTTTACCTCTAAAATAAACATGCTCATTTTTTGACAGGATCTTACTTCTGCTACCACCCATGTTGTTGCAGAAGAATATCATCTCACACCACTTTATCTAAGCATTAGCTTCCTTATCGATGTACTAGTATTTGTTCCCCCAGCTGATTATTTAAAAGGAATTGACTATAGACCTCATTTTGTAGTCTTTCAGATATGTGAAATCTCAAGGTTGTGAATAATACCCTTTGGCAGGAAAAGCACGGTCCTGCCTTGTTTGAGCTCTTTTCCAGCTGGATTCTGTGCTTGTTCGCGAAGTACGTAGAAGAAGCTTTTCATGAGAAACTTAAAAAATGTCTGTGAAAGGCAACAATATGCCTAGGATTATCAAATGTGAACAGTCACTGAAATGTATTTTCCCAGAAAATGTGTGAGCCCTGTTTTCAGCAGCCTCGTGTGTGGTTGCTTAGGAGTGTGAGGTTCAGTGGTCTGTCACTCAGCTTTAATGCACCACTGCGATGTGCTGACAGATTGAAAAATGCAACCAACCCCCTTTTCTTCCTTGAAAGACTTATTAGAAAGACATTTCTAAAAATGCCAGGGAACATATAGTTGGCATGTTAATCATTGAAGGAACTAATTTTAACTGTTTTTAATGTATATGTAGTTAGATAGATAGATAGATAGATAGATAGATAGATAGATAGATAGATAGACAGACAGACAGATAGATAGAAGTCAAATTGTGATTATCTTGCCCACAGGTAGAGGTTAAAAGTCAGAGATTCTGTTCTGATAAAAGTTGTTTTCACTAATCAGATTTAATAGTATAGAACAAGCTGCCTGACATTATAGTATAGAATAATCAAATGCAGTAAGACATAATTCAAATTCAGACAAAAGGTATATTTTGAAGCAAAGAAACTTTTACTATAGCTAGAAACCTTACTAATTCAAATTTTATGAATTAGGAAGAAAATTAATTTCTATCCATTTAATACACTGCAGTCTAAATTAGGAAATCTTAACCTGAGGCTCATAGATTAACTACTGGACCTATGAACTTTAAACAAAGCTCTATATTTATGGGTAATTTTCTGGAAAGAAGGACCAATAGTTTTTACCAACTTTTCGAAGGAATTCATGATCCAAGAAGAGTTTCAGAACCACTGACCCTTATCCATATCAATGTACTACTGTGACGCACGTTTAATTCTTACAACTGAGATTAAAAATTGTCTATTTCTAGTTTCTAACATCTGTCATCAGGATTTGAAAGAGTAAGCTGAATCCAGGTATTAATTATCAATAATGTGGGCAGGAGTTGTAATAGAATACACATACGATGCCCGCTCCCCTTTACTTTTCCCCCCAACAATATGTAATAAATAATATAACAATTAATAATAATTCACATATAATACAATTCAGTAGCTTAATCACACCAGGAAGAGTTGTACAATCATCACCACAGTCAGTTTTAGAACATTTTCTTCATTCTCGTGTTCATCATTAGTAGCTCCCCATCCCTCTCCCCGCCCCCCAGCCTTTCCTTTTCCATACTCCCAAGGAACCACTAATCCAGCTACTGTCTCTACAGATTTACCTGTCCTGGATTTCATATACAGAAAAACATTTAACCATAAATAAAACTAATAAGAAAAACAAAGCAAAGCATATTTGGTGAAAGTAAACACAGGATGAGCCACATGAAGAGGTTGGGATGTGCATTTAATGCTCTCCCGTTCCTTTGATTATCATTTTACTCAATTGTGTTGTTTGTTTTTCTTTTTATTCCGTGTGATTACGGACCAGTGAGCATGGCTGATCCTGCTGCTCTGGGCTTCATCATCTCTCCGTGGTCTCTGCTGTTGCTGCCGTCGGGCAGTGTGTCTTTTACAGATGAACACACTTCCAGTCAGGATCTCCGAGCATTCACTGCTCCCGAAGTTCTCCAGAATCAATCCCTAACTTCTCTTTCAGATGTTGAAAAGGTAACTGTTAAGTTTTTCTCTGTTGGTTTTTTGGGGTAAGGAAAAGGAAAGGAGGCCGCCTTGCCCCAAGCCTCTGGGGAAGTTATTTTAACTTGATCATGTATTCCAAAGCACTCACATGTATTTGATTTATGAGTTCATAAGAGAGTTTTATAAATGTTCCAGGATCCATATGAAGAATATGAGCTGTTAATTATTGATATTTACAAATATTTATCGAATACCTGCTGTGGATAAAACAGTGTGCTCCTTATGGGAATACAAAAAAATAATAAGAAATTATTCCTGATCAACATATTTGTTACAGCCTATAATTCATAGTGTTTAATACATAGATCTCTAGCATATACCAGAAACAAAGTGTTTTCAAGCCTAAAAGATTTACAGTTAATTTTTGTGTTGAAACATACCAAAAAGAAAGTAGCATTTGCTTTGGGCTTAGAAGAATGAGTAGACTTTATATTATTTAAAATAGATAGAGGGCATTTCAGTCGAGATTTTTAGTATGTCCAATAATAAAACATAATAAATTGTCTGTAGTGATTGGGGAATGGTTTCAGACTAGCATGCAGACCTGGGGGATATCAGTCAGAATGAGGAAAGCTTGGACACCACAACTTGAGACTTTCATCCGAGAGGCAGTGGGGATCAGTCAGGTTTTGAGGAAAGTAATAGGATGCGATCAGTAATTTCATAAGTTGAGTATGACCAGAGTAGATAACCACCCAAGCCCACTGCTTGGGGCTGCAGTGAAGTTGGTTTTAACACACTCCAATTAGATTCCCACCCAATCTTTCATCTCCCCTGATTATCTATTCTCAGGAGACTGAGACCATAACTAGAGATAAAAGATTGTATGGGAATCTAAGTGGAGTGTTTAATAGTGTGGGACAGAACTGAAAACAGTGTAGTGCCTTATGAATATAGAAGTGGATAAAGGAGATGCAGTGGAAACAGAACTGAGTGTTGTCCAAAGTTTGACATTTCATTTGATGGGACAATGAAGGAAGGGAAATAGTTTTCAAAGAAATATCCAGTCTGAGTAGAATGATGTCATTGACTTAAGAAAAATCAAGCTTCATAGAGGCTATGAGGGGGAAAAGATGGACAGATGCTATTGTGTGGTGTAGCAGACTGTGGATAATTAGACATGAAACTATGGAGAATTCAGAATTAACGAATTAGAGGGAGAAAACAAATCAGGAGAGGAAAGATGGGATAGATTATTGAGGCGGAGTTGATAAAGTGGCTTGAACTATTGAATGCAAAATTCAAAACCTAATTTGCAACAAAAAATTCATTATAAGGATAAGCATAGATATGTATATTTGTAAATATATAAATACAGGTATATTTTTCCATGCATATATACATATATGTAAATACAACAAGAAAGCAATGGACTTTGGGCCTTTACTCAAATCTTACCTCAATATAAGAACAGTTTGTTCTAATAATTTGCCACTGTATGATACTCACAATTCCTGGCACAATTGCTGAGGACAAAATGGTTGTATAAGCAAATGTGGTGAAGAAAGCGGATGGTGCCTGACTATTGACTTTAAGACCCCTATTTGGGGTCTTAAAGGCTTGGAATCAAACAAGTGGCCATCTAGCAGGGATTCAACAAAGCCCATATGGAAGATGCACACCAGCCTTGTGTGATCTTGAGGTGCTGGCAGAAGTAGGTTAGACATTGTAGTTCAAAAAAACAAAAACAAACAATCTTTTAGAAGTTGAGGAGCGTGGACAGAGTGGAGGTCCAAAACCCACCTGAAAGGTAATTGGTCAGTCTCCCACAGAAGGGCCACACAAAAGGGATATTTAGTCCAGGATGCAGTACAGCACTGATGAAACACATAACTATCCTCTAGTTCTTTAATATTTCCTCCCCTCACTATTACGATTCTTGTCTTACCTCATTAACCTAGTTAGACATGAATATGCCCATGTGTATAACTAAGATCATTTGATGCAAGTCAAGATAGATAACCCTTCAGAAACAGTAATGGGAGTAATGATTCCCTGAGGGTACGGGAAGGGGGTAGGGGGGAAACTGATAGCAATGATGACTATATAATCCCATTCAAGGGAACGAATAACAGAATTGTAGGTGAATGGATATATTGGATGGTGTAAGACCTGGATAATAATATTAATAAAAATTTATAACATATATAACATAACAATAAAGGCTCCTGGGGATAGGGTGGGGGAGGGAGGGGATAAAGGGGAGCTGATATCAAGGAGTTCAAGAAAAATGAAATGTTTTGAAACTGATGGTGGCTGCAATTGTATAATCAGACATGATCTAACTGAACTACGACTTGTTACATTTGTAAGAGCTCCCAATAAAATGATTTAAAGAATGGGCTGTGAACACCTCTTGCTATACACCAAACTTATATGTCAAAGAATCTTAAGCCAAGTTCCATGATACCCTTAAAAGCCACATATACAGCTGTACGAGGCCATTGAAAATTCAAAATGTGTGTATGTACATATTTTTTTCTGGAGAGAGAGCACATAGCTTTTACCCAATCCTTTTTAAAAAATCTAAAACTCACTAATTGATTATATGTTGACAATTTTCAAATGTATTTATCTCTAATACAGAGCTCTTAACTCACAGATGCAATTGCTGACTACTTATCTTCATTGTAATGTCCCACAGGCATTTCCAACTCAAGAGATGTGAAACTCATCTTCAGTCCCTCACAAATGCCCAGTGATGCCAGTACTGTCTAATAATCTCTGTGTGTGCTCTTTACTTGTTTAGTCTACTTTTTAAAAGCAGTTAATGCATATTTGAAAATGCATAAATGATCTTGTGTAAATTCTCTGTTTTCTTGGAATAAACATTAGACTCTGTAGCTAGGCCTCCAAAGTCTTACCAAGTCTGCCTTGTGTTTGAGCAATCTTTTTATTTCCCTTCCTAATTTTGAACTGCTATTATTCTCAATTTATTTCAGTATCTTTGATGTGTCAAAGCTTTCTTTCTTCTTAGCCGTTTTTACAGTCTTCTCTTTCAGCCAAGAATGTACTTTCCACACCCCCTCATGCCATTTCATTCACAGTCCCATCTCCTCGTTGCCTAAGTTTTACTGTGGATGTAAAGCATTCTCTGATCCTATTGCACTCTCTGGGTGCCCCTCTCTAATAGCATGGTATCTTGTCTTGTAATTACTTGCTTACTAGACTAGAAAATTCAAGATAGAAGAGACTACTACTGTTAGGCCCCATATGTTCTTTACAAGTGATTCTGAAAGTGTGACTCCCCAATCAGTAGCCTCAGCAACTCTTCAGGACATTTTGGAAACACAGATTCTTGAGCCCCGCCCCAGACCTATTGAATGAGAAACTCTGAAGATAGGACCTAGAAATCTGTTCTGTCAAAATCTCAAGGGGTTCTAGTGCATGATAAAGTTTTGGTATAGAGGGTTCACAAAGAACATTTTTTGAGTGGAGTTACTTTAGGAAATTGTTTTACCCAAAGATATTTGTGTTTTATTGATACTAAACACTACTTCAAAGAAATATACTAAAGTGAATGATGCAACATATGTAAAGTGGCTATTTCTTCTGATAGATCACTCACTTGGTGGATTTAAACACCTTTTAAATGGCTTAAAAATCCACACTGTCATCAAGTCAAAGGAACCCTGAAGGCACAGTGGGGTGTGCATTGGACTGTTAACTGCAAGGTCAATGGTTCAATGCCACCAGTAGCTCCATAGGAGAAAGATGAAGCTTTCTGTTCCCATAAAGACTTACAGGGTCAGAACCCCCAAAAGAAGCAGCCCTACCTTTCCTATAGGGTCATTGTGAGTCTACATCAACTCTATGGGACTGAGTTTGGTTTTGTTTTGTTGGGGAATCAGTTCAGACTTACAATAAGTTTCTATAGGCTAGAGTAGAACTGCTTCATAGGGTATCCAAGACGAATTATTTTATGGGAAAGGCAGGTTCATCTTAGATTATAATTTTGGTAAGAACAGACAACCTTATTTTTTCTACACAGCACTGCTGAGTTTGAACCAGCAAAGTAATCCACCATGCCATCAAGGCTTGTCTGTGGTTAATAAGTCAATTAGACTCAAAAGTCTTTCCTTATCTTCTTAGAGAATGGATATATAAGAACAAAAAGTTTTGTGAATTTTTTCAGTGATGACTATTTTATCATTGTTACTTTATTTCTCAACAGAATATCAAATGTAGACTGTGGGTAGAATTGAAGCTTTGCAGCTGAAACTATATATTATTGTAGGCCATTTTCTTAACTATGTTATGGCCCAAGTGCCTTATTTGTAAGGAAATCATAATAGTAATTAAGCTAATAAGGTTGTTGAAAAGATCATATGTGTAACAAGCTTAAAAGAGTACCATCTGTATAGTGAGCACTCCCAAATACTCTCACTCCTCTTTGTGAAGTGCAGGCCTGTCCTGGGATAGATAGGACAGTCAGGGTTTTCACCCTTGCAGATTTTATAGTCTAGAATATTTTAACTGTAAAAACAAAAGTTTTTCCATTTCTCATGAGTAATATTAGTTTCCTTAAATTCCCCTTTTTCTGTGTCAAATTTTATGTATAACCTCCCCGAGTTTTAGTAAGTCACATAATTTACATAATATATATATATATATATATAATTTATTGGGGGCTCATACAACTCTTATCACAATCCATATATCCATCCATTGAGTCAAGCAAATTTGTACATTGGTTGCCATCATCATTCTCAAAACATCTTCTTTCTACTTGCACCCTTGGTATCAGCTTCTCATTTTTTCCCCTCCCTCTCTTCCTCACCCTGCCTCCCTCATGAACCCTTGATAATTTATAAATTATTATAAATATTTTTATATTTTAGTATATAAAATTATTATAAATATAAAGATATTTCATATCTTACACTGACCGATGTCTCCCTTCACCCACTTTTCTGTTGTCCATTCCCCTGGGAGGGGGTTATATGTAGATCATTATGATTGGTTCCCCC